AGATCTAAGACTGGTTGCTGTGGTAGCTTCAATTATTGTGATCTACTTTATATTTAATTTTGGTCCCATTTTCTCTCACTATGCTCCTTGACTTTCGTTACTAGAGTTTGCATTGCATTTTCAGCCATCAAGAGTATATCAGGATAGTGCAAATTACTTACATTTCCCTCATTTCCCTCCCTCCTGTTTTAAAATCACACTCATCTCTTTCCAATGTAGTGTCCTTCCATACAAGTAGTCTTTGACATATGACTGCTTGTTTTGCTACTATTCACTTATTATCTGGTTCTCAAATTTCGATGGCTGGCCCCTTCCCATGGTCATGTGATTGCATTTTGAGCACTTAGCAACTGGCCTGCTTTTATGGCCGTTTGCCATAAAGTCACACGACCATGTTTTCACTGAAAACCAGCATTAACCTCCAGTTTTGGCAACAACACTTCATAGTGGACAATGACACAATCGTCACTTAATGATTATAGCATTTGTTTAACTGCCGCAAAAAAGGTCATAAAATTGGGTTGGTCATGTGGATGGCTTTTTAACCTGTGTATTGAATGTGAACAGTAAGATGTTCTGGGATTCTCCTTTTTCTAAGCGCATTCCCTAGATTGATACAGTCAACACAATTGAAGACCCTTTCATAATTTATTAAGCCCATGCCGGCTTCTTTCTGGTACTCTTTGGCTTTCTAAATTATCCAGCAAACGTCAGCAATAACATCTCTTGTTACCTGTCCTTTTTAAAAGCCAGATTGAACCTCTGCCATTTTATGTAGGCCTCTAAGGATATTGTATGATAATTAAGTTTCCTTTCTTCAGTAGACATGAATAAACTTCAAATCAAAAGGTGATTTTTCAGTATAAATGAAATAGTCAGTGTAAAGTAAGCCATGAATTCACTTACCATGATAAATGGCATGCCAAAGGGAAGACTACAAATTATATTTAGCACTTTTTTTTCACTTACGTTTTTCAAGAAACAATATCAAAAGGAGCTATATTGTGTCATTATGGGAGACAATATACTCATTAGAAGTGGCTATTGATAATTTTATGCTCCATTTTTCCCATTTCTCTTCTATAGCTATCTATACAAGTGATCTGAATCTCTTACCATTTAGTTTCATTGGATTATTTCAGATTTTTAGTGAGAAAAGCTTTAATAAAATGTATTTTAGGGATATGATTCCTATAGGCTAAAAGAGAAGCAAGAAGATAACCCCCAAAACAGGCAATTTTCCAGAATCTTGTTTTGATTCAAAAAGGTTGAGCTTTGTTTATTGTTTGGACGCTTAAGTTTTTAACAGTCTGTGAAATAATAGAAACTAAGGAATGTTGGAAATCCAGAGGAAAGCTATATTCCTACTCAGTTTATGAATTAAATAATGTGACGTGTATAGAAAATAATGGTTGGAGGTTTTTTGCTAAGACCAATGTAAGGGATGAACAAAATGTGTTCAAAGTGATCCTTTCTCCCTTTCCTTCTTTTTTAAACTCAGAGGCTGCTAAGTTCATTTCTTTTGCCAAGCTCTTTATATTGTATGACAGCTTGGTCAAGTTAATTTCTTCCAAATGTCCTTAAAACATTTTGAATGAAAAAAGTTTACTTTTTGAATAAATATTTGACCTTTTACGCACAAAACTCTCCTCCTTTTTAAAAATGTTCACGAACTCACTCATATTTGAATGTGTACATAAAAATGCTACAGTTTGGATTAAAGAACCAGGAATTGCTATTATGGCCGTGGTTACAGAAATATGTCAGTTTAGCTGATTTGTTAGATAAACAAAATGACTGGAAACTCGCGTTGTGCAATTAGGCAACTGTCCCACAGCCTTTGTTTTGTCACCATATTCTTCTAAACCAGTAGCCTTATTTACCAGCTTTATTCCTGTAAAATTCAATCTTTACTTTTTTAACTGAATGTAATGAAATTTATGTTACTATATTATTTTTATTACATTTTTATTTCATTGTTTACTAGTGAGGTAGATGTATATACCATAAAACAAATTAGTTTAATAAAAGTCTGGAATTTGAGAGTGGCTTTTAAATAAGTCAGTCATTGTGGCTCTACTGTATGAAAAATATAATGATTTAATTTTCATATATTCTCCTACTAAAAATTAAATGTTTTAACTATGCAGGATGGTTTATTGTTATCATTTAGTAAGCAACAACAGCTGAAGTTAAAGATGCAGTTCAGTCTTAAACATGTCTACAGGCTCTTAAAAGTAACTGAGTAGCCCTCACTGGCACAATTTACTGAAGGTATATGCTCAGAAATACCCATTGGTGCTCATTCTCTTGCAGGTGTATTTAAGACGGCAGTTTTACCCACAGCTCACATCACTCGTTCCAGCTCTTGTGGATCCAGCAGTTCAAAAGCGAGCAACGATGAGGAAATGAATTCCCACTTTGCTGGGAAGCTTAATGGAAGGAACCCAGGCAACTGTGATGTCACAGGCTAATCTTTTCAACCTGGATGCGCACTGGTGCTCCTCACTCAACTGTAGCTTGTATAGCCCACAACTCCATTTTGTTTTTCTCCCCATCACTGCCTGTTCTGAAGGAATAAGTGAAGATTTAGTGTCTGTCTGAGTTAAAACTACCAGCAAGTGAAACGTTAGGGTTTTTTAAAAATATGTTGTTGCTCAGGAGGTATTTGCATTCTAATATCTGCTTTCATTTCCCTAATACAGGTCTACATATTATTATATTACAGACTATCCTCCTCAACCTTGGTAAACTTAAGGTCTGTGGACTTCATGTTCCAGAATTCTTCAGGCAGCATTCTCTTGGGGAATTCTAGGAGTTGAACTCCACATTTCTTAAAGGTTTCCAAGGTTGAGAAATACTGTAGTGGATTGTCACTAGACAAAGTCATATTTTATAAGGTTTTTCTTATACAATGGGGCCCACTAATAAATTTAGTACTACTTAACATGAAGAAAATTATCTACTCTGTCTCAGAGTTATGCTTTTGTAATCAGATGAAGTTATTAATGACAAAATGGATGTATTTCAGCAGTCAGAAATACCAGTAAACCCAGTTTGGAGGATTAAAAGAAATTTATTTTCAGGCACTTAATAAGTTAAAAGTCCTACTCCACACTGTAGAGCATCTAATTGAACGAAAGAAGAAAGTACCTTCCTGGAAGAAATGCAGTTGGTTTTCTACATACAGTAAAACTAGTACAATTTGTTGTAATTCTCGGATAATAATCAGCAGCAATGAGGAATAATAAGTCTCTGTTAAAATTCATTGTAGTCTGAAGTATTTTCTGCGAACATAATGCTAAATCATTTATTCTAAACTATATGCATGAACAGAAAGGATTCCATATGAAATCTTGGACTTCTTCCTCTCTATTCTTCGAAGAGGAATTATTTTATTCTGCAGTAAATTCCTGGTTTGTTTAAATAAACTTTAATCAACATGACAAACATGAACGTTCAGTTGTTTCTGCCTTGTTTACAAAGGACATTGAAGGCCTAATCCTTATATAATGATGCAGCAGGAATCTGCTGAAGCAAATTGAATTTTAGTTTATTTCTCTTCCTAGGCATATGGGGAAAAGCAGACTTTCCTCAGTACAGTACAGTGGAGTAAACACTTCCTTCCATTTTTGGAAAGGAGAGAGTTAATAAATTTAGGATGGGTTTCAGGCATGAGGCAGACCCTCTGCAAGCCAAAAGTGGGTGTTTTATTAGCTACATCTTTCCCAATGGCCAGAGGTTTTTCACCTCTGATTTAAAATGTCTTCTATTTGCATGTAATTGACATGTGAATTTAGATGCAATATCATTTGCTTTAAGCATAAGACAGAAGCTTCCGCTTCTCCTTGGTATTAACCCCCAGCAAAAGCAGTTCACAGCAATAGAGAAAGAATACAGGTAGTTCTCAACTTACAACCTCTACTGAGCCCAAAATTTTGGTTGTTAAGTGAGACATTAAGTAAATTTTGCTCCATTTATGACCTTTCTTGCCCCAGTTAAGTGAATCTCTGCAGTTGTTAAGTTAGTAATACAGTTGTTAAGTAAATCTGGCTTCCCCACTGACTTTCCTTGACAGAAGGTCGCAAAAGGTGATCGCATGACTCCGGGACACTGCAAACGTCATACATATGAGTCAGTTGCCACATGTCTGAATTTTGATCATGTGACCATGGGGATGTTGCAACAGTCGTAAGTGTGAAAAATGGTCATAAGTCACTTTTTTCATTGCCGTTGTAACTTCGAACAGTCACTAAATAAATGCTGTAAGTTGATGACTACCTATATTGTCAATGACAGACACAATGAAGGGTTAACTGATTAGCCTCAGTCCAGAGAGCCTCAATCATTCCAGGCTTCATGGTGTATCTACTTCTATAGCACTGGGTGCAGCTGAAAGAATTTTGGTTATCAGCTCCTTGAATGGCATGGAAAAATTATTTTTCCAATAAAAAATTCATTTTAACTTGTCTTACACTAAGTACTATCTAGAGCAGGGCAGTTTTGTTAACTTCGGTGTTCCTTAAATTTACATAACAGTTCTGTGTCTTTATTTTCAGATCTCAAATGCTCAGTTGAAAGTTCTGTCCAAAAAAGGGCAAAAACTTCTACCAGGAGACAGACTGAACCTATGGCACATTTCTTTAAAGTTGGAGGCTGCACAATAAACTGTTGTTTACTTCCATTGACTGTAAAATGAAAGAATGCTTGTTATCCTTTGGAATATCTAGAAGAGTCAAGCAAAATAGCTCAAGGCACGAAGTCCAAACTGATTTGACAGAAAGCAGCGCTGATGAGAGACGGGAGATTATGAGCACGGTGCTCATTTGAAACCCTAACTTGACTGCCTCTTACTTCTGCTTAGGTATCAATGCCCAAAGTTACACATTTCCATCATAATTTTTATGACGTTTCCATGGCTGAATGCAAAAAAGCAGCATTGTGGCTATGCAATGGAAGAAATATACCAAAAGGCATCATTTCTTAACGTCGCTTTCCTAATTGACATTAACCTCAACATTTTGCACATTGGTTCAAATATAACTTAAGAGTGGTTACTTCCCCCTCCATCACTATGCATACATCCCTCTTTCAGACCTCACATCTACTACAGCAAACAATTAGTGCAACAGCATGTTCAGCAAAACAGTTCATTGCATGGGTTGCATGAAACAGGTTTTTTTGGTTGTTCTGGCTTTGGTTTTCAATATAAAATTCTTTAGAGATGAACTTATTCACCCTGCTTCAGTCTAGCACAATATTCTTCCAATGTAGGCTTTAACTGTCTTTCAGATTCGTTCTTGGTTCTTGAAGTATAGAAACTGCAATATTTTTCTCTCAAGACTCTAGAAAATAGAAGGAAAAACAAAGCATTACAGATTCTTTTTTTCATTGTATAAATAATTGAATCTTTTGGTTTTCTAAAAAAGATGTCGGAAATTAACTTTCCTGTACTGAGATTGTGTTATGAGTTAATATGATTGTGTTACAATTAATCAAAACAAACTTTTAACTATTCCAGCTATTAATTTTTACATATTTATTTGTCATATTCATATACCACTTATTTTTAAAATTCCAGGATGGTTTATAATTTATATATATATATATGTGTGTGTGTGTGTGTGTGTGTGTGTGTGTGTGTGTGTGTATGTATGTATGTATGTATGTATGTATGTATGTATGTGTATGTGTATGTGTATGTGTATGTGTATGTGTATATATATATATATATATATATATATATATATATATATATGTTTTCTGAGGTTCTCGCAGGTATTTGTATGTGGATCTTTGGTTATTCGGGTTTTCTCCCGCGTAAGATTGGAAGTATCTAGGCAACGTTTCGATGAAGTCTCATTCATCATCTTCAGGCTTCTGTCTTCAGCTCTGTGCTTCTCAGAGTGATGTGAGCTTGCAGCTGCTTCTTCCTTTTAACTGCTAGTGGGGGTGTGACTTGATTGGGTGGGGGCTTGGCTGTGTTCTGATTGGGTGGGGGTGTGTTCTCATTGGTTGGGGGTTTGGCTGTGTTCTGATTGGTTGGGGGGTTGGCCATGTTCTGATTGGCTGGAGGTGTGTTCTGTTCAGGTGGGGGCTTGGTTGTGCTCAGGTTGGTCTTAGTTACTGGGGGATTTGAGCTGGTGAGCTGTGATCTTGCTGTTTGGCTTCGAGTTCGTGGTCCAGAACTATCGCCAAAACCGAACACTTCAACAACAGAATAATCAGAGAAGCCATAGAGATAGAAAAACGCCTAAACAGCATGAATAAAAGAGATGACACCTCCCGCTTACCAGCCATTTGGAAACCCGCCCTCATGAACAGACGAGTACCTAACATGATGAATGACACCAGACCCACACCCACGAGGGCCACACAAGATGCCACCACCACACTTCCACGTAAAAATCAGACTCACACCCACACAGAAGATGAGACACGACCACAGACCAGAAGCCGCACTGCAGCTGCATCACTACCCACTTCAAACCCATCTGAGCCATACATGAAGCGAACTGACCCCCACCATGAAGATGTGGCACGACCACGAACTCAAAGCCAAACAGCAAGATCCCAGCTCACCAGCTCAAATCCCCCAGCAGCTGGGACTAGCCTGAGCACGGCCAAGCCCCCACCTGAACAGAGCACGCCTCCAGCCAATCAGAACACGGCCAGCCCCCCAACCAATCAGAACACAGCCAAGCCTCCAACCAATGAGAACACACCCCCACCCAATCGGAACGCAGCCAAGCCCCCACCCAGTCAAGTCACACCCCCACTGGCAGTTAGAAGGAAGAAGCAGCTGAAAGCTCACATCACTCTGAGAAGCACAGAGCCGAAGAAGCAAGCCTGAAGATGATGAATGAGACTTCATCGAAACGTTGCCTAGATACTTTGAATCTTACGCGGGAGAAAACCCGAATAACCAAAGATCGATCTATCTATCTATCTATCTATCTATCTATCTATCTATCTATCTATCTATCTATATATTTTCTTAAGTTTTCGTGGGTACTTACATGTATGGCATTCAGCTTTGTTCGGGTATTTTCCCACGTCATAGTAGTGGTGCTTTTAAAGTTGTAGCAACGTTTCAGCAGAATCTCATCTGCCATCATCAGGCTTTTGTATAGTGTTCGTCTGTGAGTTAGACTTTTACAGTGGTTTCAGATTAAATTTGGGGCAGCCTATTGCTGTGCCAGAATGGTTTTTTCTTCATCCTGATTGGTTGAGAGTCTTGGTCTGTGTTTATTGGTCTTGGAGTTTGCTGTGTTCTGCTTCTAATATCTTCTGTCTGTTTTTTTGGCTCTTTTTGTATCTTGATTGGCTGGCAACATTGTGTTACTTTATTGGAGGCCTTTAGTGCAGCTTGGCTTCGGGTAAATGGACGGCTATCATTAGTTAGGAAGCTGGGTTTCATCTGGGTGCCTGGTTGGGGTGTGTTTGAGCTGGAGGTATCAGGGGGGATCTGTTTGTGCCCAGGTGTTTGCCTGGCTTGTGGTGTGGAGATTTTTTTGTTTGTGAGTGCAGGCTTCCAAATGATTGACAGCCTGGTGGAATCATCTCTTCTGTTCATGCTTTCTGGTCTTTTTTCAATCTCTGAAATAATCTGAAACCACTGTAAAAGTCTAACTCACAGACGAACACTATACAAAAGCCTGATGATGGCAGATGAGATTCTGCTGAAACGTTGCTACAACTTTAAAAGCACCACTACTATGACGTGGGAAAATACTCGAACAAAGCTGAAGGCCATATATATATATATATAACATTTTGTTTAAGAAAAATATTTTTTTCTTGTTTCATACAATTCCACAATAATGTCGCAAACATTGAACAAATGCCAAGTTCAAAGAATAAATGTAAATTTATGGATAGAACCATTTTATTACTAATGATGCAGGAAATATGGATAATATTGATTTAATTATTTGTTCCTTATTCCATTCATCAAATTTGTATGGCTGCCCACCTGCCAAAAAAGAACTCTGGTACTGTACAATGTTTAATTAAAAAACAAATATATAAAAACAGTCATTATTAAAAGTATAAAAAGCACATGAACAAAGAAAGGATGATATTAATTGCAGTAGGCAAGCCTTTGTAAGATTTTCTTGGTCCCCTGGGATCTTCAGGCCTAATGGCACAGCCAGCTTTAGAGACTTGTAAAATGTTAAGGGAGATGGATGTGTGTGTGTGTGTGTGTGTGTGTGTGTGTGTGTGTGTGAGAGAGAGAGAGAGAGAGAGAGAAAGAGAGAGAGAGATACATGTATTCATGTAAAAAGTTTCACATAATCTATCACATAGTTATTTTTCACCATATATTTCTGTACAACTTGTAAGGTAAGTCTATTGCTATAGCTCTGTGAAGAGAAGGAATGAAGAATTGTTGCAATAATTTTATAGTACTCTTGAAATATCTGAAAGAATATCACACAAAAGAAAGTCAACATTTGTTTTCTATCACTCCAAAGAATGAGACACCCAGAAAAATGGGTTGAAATTTCAGGAAGGCAATTTCTGATTAAATGTTAGTAATGTATTCAGCAGAAAGAGCTGTCTGAATGGAAAACCTGTCATCTGGAGAGCTAGTGGACTCTCCTTCATTGAATGTAATTATGCAGAAGTTGGACAGCCATTTTGTCAGGAAGAGTTCAGTTTAGATTTAAGCATGGACTCTTCAGACTGTGGTCTTACATAGTCCTTTCCAATGTTATGATTCTATGATCAACACATTGTTGCAGCAGAAAGTTCTGTTCTGTTTGTTTACAATGCGTATGTGTTTGTTGGCTGCTCTGCACCTTCCCTGAAATGTAGGGTTGACATTGCTAACAACCCCCTAACAAGAACACCTGACAGTTTAATTCTGCTTCACCTACTTAGTGTTTTTGTTCATCACAAAGTACAAATTACAGTTAAGAATGTCCAAAGCTGCTTTTGCATGTGTCAGTGGTAATACCTTGCGCCTTATTATGTTTTAGTTAGCACACACCCTTTCTGAAGGGCAGATACATAACACGGTGAAGATCAGTCACTTCTGCTGGATTTTGGAAGATAAACTTAGTATCTGGAACTTGCGTAATATTGGAACAGGTGGAGAGCCATTGCTCTCTCTTACTACTTCCTAATATATCAGAGGTGGATTTCCCTCCCCATAGTTCTGCATCTGATATTATCTGGCTCATCTGGAAGATGCGGGACCTGCCAGATTTAGTTGTACATTCTGTTCCGGAGCATAAATATGGAATATATCTCTTGGTAAATCTCCACACACTCATAAATAAATAAGTAGGTTTCACTTTATAACCTTATATGTATAATCAATTTTGTGTTTGTTTGTAATAAGGCAAATACATAAAAGCCACGGAGTAGAAAAAAATAGCAAGCATTAACTCCTTTGCAAACAAACACTTCATGTGCAATGCAAAGTTGTTAAAATTAACAGCTGTTTTGTCACTGACTTTAAGTGGTTCTGAGAATCTTTTTAAAATAAGTTATATTAAACTTAAGAGAAAAGCATATATTTGCTGCTAAAATAGTTGCTGTAATTATCTGGAAAATACAGCCTATATTTTTACTTTGCCCTTTTCTTATTTTATCAAGGAGCTTTGAAGCAAAGTCTAAATACAGAACATTCTCAAAAAAGGGACTTGTAGCATTTCTGTAAGCCACTCACCTGATGCTGTGTTTTAGCTTGAACATTCAAAACAACCCTTTTACTTGTTCTGTATCAGGGTCCAGGTCAATATCATAGAAGCAAGGCCTTGTGGGCAATCCAGGCATAGTGGTCATCTAAGGGATCGAAGAACCAAGAGTTACACTTCAACATTTGTTATCTGGAAACCACAGATAGGATGAAGTAGAAGACCACAATATTCTTTATGGCCCATAGAAAAGAACTAACCCAGTTCTACTCCAGTTCCTTTTGCTAAGCCAAATCCCTTAAACGATTGCAAAGAATTTCTGGGAAAGGAAATAAAAGGCTATAATATCCCAAACTTTATGGGACTAAGCTTATAAAAAGTTCTGTGTTCTAAGAGATATAAAGCAAAGGAATGCATATGGAATGTAAATAGTTAACTACAGTGGATTGAAAGCATAAAATTTATAAATCCCAAACTTTATGTATATCTAGTTTGCATCTGAAAGAAGTCTGTTATGACCAGCTTATTTCTTTTTATTTTTAGGACCCATTTAGTAGTAAAAGCATTTCCAAAATTATGGTTGTTATCGATTACAGAAATAATTTGGCATGAATCATACTGCTGCAATACACTGAATAATTAATTGAAAATAATTTTAGCCTGGATATTACAAAGATTGGGTGGATATTTTTGTAGCCAATAAAGAGGGAATGCAAGTGAAGCATCTGATTTCATACTTTTTTGGGTACAAATTCTAAATATGTTTCTAAATAGGCAGTCCTTGATTAACAACAACATTCGGTGACCATTTGAAGTGACCACAGGTTTGAACGAATGGTATTTATGACTTCTCCCCAAAGTTATGGCATTTGCAGTGCCCCATGGCCATGTGATCAAAATGTGGGTACTTGATATCCAGCCCAGACTACAGCATGTGCTTCAGCTCCCCCCATCTGCCTATCTCCCCACCCTACCTCTGCCATTTTGCCACCCCGAACCTCCTCTAGCTGACAGCGGCAAGTGTGGCAAGACAGTGGAGACTTGTCTGCTGAAGGGAGCTTGCCAGGCCTGGCTAGGGAGGAAGCAGCAGGATGAGGGCAGCAGATTGAGCATGGCAGGAGACACGAGGTTCTCACTTAATGACACTGTCCTTGCCTAGTATCTTTGGAACTACTGTTGCTAAGTAGTGCAGTCACATGATGTTTTGCCTAACAACACCTTCACTTAGCAATGGAAATGGGGTTGTTAGACAAAGACTCCCGTATATAATATTCTACAGACTGAGGAGAGTGTTTGAACTGTTCCCACAAATCTACAGGACAAATGCTCCTCTTCCCAAAGAGAGAAAGAAAGATAGGTGTTCATCATAAACCCAAAGAAAAAAGATCACCATAATAAAATATTGCATAAAATTTGTGGGGAAGAATAAGATTCCCAGTACAAAAATACACTCAGCAAGTTTGGATCTGTACATTCTTTTCCCTTCCCATGATTCTTTTCTCCCTCTAAGCTTTCTTTCCCAGTATTCTTGTATTTCCATGAACTCAGTAAATTGCTATTGATTAACAATTAAGGGAAGCCTCATCAACTTCTAGTTTTCTCTCCTCAAAATCTTCCTCCTGATTCTTAATGAAGAAAGAAGACTTTATTTGCATGCTATTCTGGATATATTGCTTTACGTAAAGCTAAATACATACAAAAATTATACAGAGACTATGCAGCTTGCATCTTAATAAGACCTTAAAGGAATTAGCTATAGGCAGCTAATTAAAAGAAATGTCAGCTTCCGTCTTGATGTAATTAAAACAAGCTGATTATAGCCTATGAAAAAACAAGTGCCATGATAAAAGTTTATTGTAAATGTTCTTGTATCCTGGCAGGCTGCTTTGACAACAAATATGAAAACAAACATCTCAACAACAGGTAACAAGAACTAGGGTGCTTGAATTGATTATACTGTTACAAAGCAGAAGCAATTATAAGGTACAGTACTTTTTCTCCAAATCAAGCCTGCCCAAAATGTGACACAGGCAGACCAAAGAGGAAAATTGCAATAATTAAATGAGCCAAGATATATTTTGCCAAGAAAATAACAATGCAGAAGGTTATGATCTCATTCTAATTAAACATGATGGCAAGAAATTCATAATTATATCTCCTCTGATTCTTAAAAAATGTTATTTGTCATCATGAACTCAAATACTAGGAAAAGGAGGCACAAATCCTTTCCCCTGTATGACATTTTCTGAATCTGAATTTCTCATCCAAGTGTTATGAAGCCTCTACAGAAAACATCAGTTTGGGATATCCAGTTGTAAATCATTTTGTGGAAATTCACATAAACATAACAGAGAAGTGATAGTTTAATCAATCTATGGAGGGAAAGGTTGTAGGAAGGGCTAATAGAGCTAATATTTAGAAATATTTATGTCTTCCTGACAGGAAGACAAAAATCATAACAAAACATATTATTATCTGAGAAAATTATGAAAACAGAGGAAGGTTTGTGACATTATTCATTACAATTTCCCAAACTGGAAACAGCTCATCCAATTGACATTCTCTCTGTACACAAACACACACACACAGAGAACCAGTTGATTTCATAAATTGCCTTATTCAGCAACTTGTAGACAGAATTCTTTATTGGCCAAGTATGATTGGAATCACAAGGAATTTGTCTCTGGTGCATAAGTTCTCAGTTTACATACAAACAACAAAGTGCTAAGTCATAAATCATAAGACACAATAAATCATAAGATACAACAAAAATTGATACATCATATATATACCAATAGGAGAAGGTAGTAGGAAAGGTGAGAGGTGAGAAAGACGAGAAGATGAGAAGGATGAAAAGATGGCAAGGATAATATAGCAGTACAGCCATTTACATGGGTAAACATCTTTAGGAAGAAGACAGTGCTGTAGTTGGGTATTTAGCAGAGGGATGGCATGGGGGAAGAAACTATCTTTGTGTCTAGTTATTTTGGCACGGAGTGCCCTATAGTAGGGTCTTGAGGGGAGAAGTTGAAACAGTTTATATCCAGAATGTGAGGGGTCTGTAGATATTTTCTCAGCCCTTGTTCTGATTCATGCAGTATGCAGGTCCTCAGTGGAAGGTAGGCTGGTTGCAACTGTTTTTTTTTTTCCTGCAGTCCTAACTATCTGTTGAATTCTGTACCTTTCCTGTTTGGTTGCTGTGCCAAACCAAACAGATATAGAGGTACAAATGACAGACTCAATAATTCCTATGTAGAACTGTATTATTAGCAGATCCTTGGGCAATCTGAGCTTTCTGAGTTGACGCCGGGAGAACATTCTTTGTTGTGCCTTTTTAATGATGGTTCTAATGTTAGGTGTTCATTTCAAGTCCTGGGAGATTATAGAACCCAGAAACTTGAAGGTCTCTACTGTTGGTACTGTGTTGTGTAATATTGTAAGAGGTGGTAGAATAGGAGGGCTTCTCCTAAAATCTACTATAATCCCTACAGTTTTAAAAGTGTTCAGCTCCAGATTATCCCAGCTGCTGTATGCAGACACACCATCATCTCAAATGAGACCAATGACTGTTGTGTCATCTGCAAACTTCAGATATAAGACAACACCCTTTTGAAAAATGTAAAGGCAGTGAAAATATTTTAAAAGCAGAAATAAGACAACTACTGAGGGGAGGGCTTCTTTCAGACATCAAATGATTGTTTGATCTCTTCTGGATAGAGAAATGTTCTCCAAAAAGGAGGTGGTTCACAATGTGTGGGTCTTTCTGGACTCACAATTCCCAATAGGTCAAGAGGTAGTCTGTGGCCAGAAAAATATTTGCTCAGCCTTGGCTGGTCTATTAGTTATGGCCATTCCTAGAGCAAAGAGGCATTGCTTGACTACTGTAATTCATTCCACCTGGATCTGCTTCTGAAGACCACTCAAACAGCAGTTGATATTGAATATGGTGGTCCATCTACTAAATGTCTCAATACACCCACATAGCAATTGTTTTTCTTGTGCCTAAAGCAAATATTTTTAAAACTGCAGCAACCAAAGAACCTAAGGAACTGTGGTCACAGTTACGCATAAATAGTTTGCAACTTATTTCTTTTTAAATTAACACAGAAAAGTAGAATTACACAGATACCAATGCTTGTGAAAGTGCCCAGGTTATCTCATTGAACAATATCTACAAAGAGGACAGGGTTTTTTAAGAACTGGGAAAGATTGTACAAGGATGTAGTACTTCTATTAGTAGGTATTTTATTTGTATTTGGCCTTAGGGCTGCAATAGATTTGATGTGATTTGATGCCTAGAGGGAGCAAGATGGAGTTAGCTTGGAGATCAATTAACATTTTAAACTTTGTAATAAGAAAAAATTTGGGTAGCAATAGTCTTTTCAAAAATAAATGAAATAATTATATTTTGTTTCAAGGGCGTAAATGCTGACTATCCATATATACATCAGTATCTCAAAAATGGTTTAGGATCACACTAAATAAAATTTAGAGATGAACAAGTTTATGAAAATATATTTTATATTTACATAAATATAAGAATTAAAATGTAATAACTACTACAATTTTAAATGTTTGTTAATATGGCATTTTAAAAAAGATATTACTCTATTGATAATTTGATTTTTTTAAATTAAAAGCAACGCTAATATTAAACACACATATGCATTATTTTCCTATTTACCCATAACTAGAAAAATATATTCATTTTACTTCCTCTTTATGTGCTGCTACTTGTTTATAGCATCATGTGAATGATAAGGCCGCACATACAGAATTAAGACTGGCTCCCATTCAAATTAGGCAATCTCTCTTGAACACAAACAAGGACATTTTATTCTCTCAGAGAAGAAAATGTATCTGTTCTTTAAACAATATAATCAACAATTGAAATCAGGACAGTATTTATGAAGTTTAAATAGTCCAAACAACATTATAAAATGTTATCTTCAACACGGCAGGAATTTTCAAACTTCAAAATAAAAATTCACCAGTAAGGCACAAAATAATCAAGCCATTCCATAGACAGAAAATATTCATTCCCAGTGTTAAGTATAGGAGCTTGAAACCAAGAACAAAATTCTGCATACTTTCATTATCTCACAATGCCTTCAAGTCTATCAATCATATATTGCCCGAAGAAAAACC